TTGCTAGGGACTTGCCCGGCACTTGCTCTCTACCTCTATTTGTTATCTTTCTTCTATCATTGACAGTCCCTCTAGGTTGTGGGCTGCTTGCCTGTGTTCCTGAGAAGCATCTACGGTACCAGTCTATAGAGTGTGTTTTCTTTAGTGAATTACCGGTATGTTTACCGGTAATAAACTTGCACTGTTTTATGTATATGTTTGATTACATACAGCCTTGTGACAGTTTTCCTGCATGTCATAAGCATTTGAATATAAATTAAAATGTTAAAATCAAATCTGATATTGTTTTACCTTTTATTTGGTGTGTGGAAGGTGTGCGGAAGAGGGGGTAGTCTTATACGGCGAGTATGTAACAAACTCTGTATTTTGAGTGGAAATGTTAGGGGGTCGTCTTATACGCCCAGTCGTCTTATACGCCGGCAAATACGGTATATTTTATTGATTTCAGAGAGGAAGGGAAAGGGAGAGAGAGATATAGAAACATCAGTGATGAGAGAGAATCATTGTTCAGCTGCCTCCTGCACACCCCCTACTGGGGATCAAGCCCGCAACCCAGGCATGTGCCCTCGACTGGATTTGAACCTGGGACCGTTCAGTCTGCAGGCTGATACTCTATCCACTGAGCCAGGCCAGCCAGGGGGCAAAGGTTTCTTTTTAATAACTACTTTGAGATTCAATCATATGTATAACCTAAATGTTAATTTCTAAAGAAGACCTAGCTAAGAAAGAAGGAAAACTTAGAAATGTAATTGAAAAAGTGTAAGTTTTTCTAATTCTATCCTGTGTCCTTAAGGATGAATTTCCAATCATTTGATTTTATTTTTCTATTTTTGTTAGTCTAATTTCTTGAGTGATTTTGTTGTTGATGTTGTTTCTTTGTTTGTTTTACCAATGTTTTCCTTCATAATAATGCTGAATGTTTTCCATACCAATATTATTAGGGCCTGATTTATATACAGTGAAGTCAGTAAAAGTTATTTCTTTTTCTGTTTCTAAATTATTATAATTGGTTTTCTGTAGTTTTCCATATACTTGCACATTTAGTCTAATTTCACTGTTTTGTTAGAAAAAATAATTTGTATAAACTTGAAATGAATAGGATTTATTCAAATGCCAATCTTTTTATTTCTTTATTCTTTGTAAACATCTTTAATGATTGCTAGCTATGGAAAAAAGAATAGTTATGTTTAAGATATAACAAAACTGATTATTTCTGGCAAGTTCTCCGGGACTAGGACTTACAAGTAGTAAGGAGTCGGTAGGCTGCTCTAATTTTGATCCCCCCTTGCTACAGAAAGCATCTTATTCATCTAGAGAGTGTGCTTTTTGTTGTTAATTTTCACCCAAGGATATGTTTTCTGTTGATTTTTCAGAAAGAGTAGAAGGAAAGGAGAGAGAGAGTGATAAAGAAACAATTGATGTGAGAGACATATCAATTGGTTGATTCCACATGGGCCCCGGGATCCGTGTGTGGGCTGACGCTCTAACCAATGAGCCATGCCAGCCAGGGCTAGAAAATGAGTTCTTAAAGAACACTACAAATGAAGATTATAGTGGGATTAGTAACTAATAAGGACCTTTAAACCTAGAGGAACAGAAGCTACTTTTTAAAAATCATCACCTGAGGATGTTTTTATTGATTTAAGAGAGAGAGGAAGGGAGAGAGAGAGAGTGAGAGAAACACCTATCAGTTGCCTCCCCTACGCAACCTGACGGGATCAAACCCAAAACCTGGGTGAATTGAATTGAACCCACTTTGCAGTGCCACCTTTCGATGTATGGGGTGACACTCCAACCAACTGAGCCACACCGGCCAGGGCTAAGGGGTAGAGACTTTTAATAGTATACAATAGGACTTTGCCTTCTTTTTTCTCGTTTTTAAAATAATTTTTAATTTTTCAATTACAGTTGACATACAATAGTATATTCGTTTGAGCTTTATAGCACAGTAATTATGCATTTATATAACTTACAAAGTGATCTTCCTGATAAGTCTATCACCCATCTGACACTATACTTAGTTATAACAATATTGACTATATTTGCTGTACTTTACATTCCCATGACTTGTTTTTATAATTGGCAATATGCACATCTTAATTCCTTTCCCCTTTTCACCCATCCTGCAAACCCCCTCCCATATGGCAACCATCAAAATGTTCTCTATGAGTTCATTTCTATTTTGTTTTTAGTTTCCATATATAAATAAAATTATATAGCATTTGTCTGTCTCTGACTTATTTCACTTAGTATAATACCCTCTAGGTCCATCTACATTAAAAATGGCAAGATGTCATTAGTTTTTTATGGCTGAGTAATATTTCATTGTATATATGTATCACATCTTCTTTGCCTATTCATCTATTGATGGCCATTGAGATTGCTTCCATACCTTGCCTATTATAAATAGCTAGAGGCCTGGTGCACGAATCGTGCATGGGTGGGGTTCCTAGGCCTGGTCAGTGATCAGGGCCGATTGGGACCATCTTGTTCAGTCCCAATTGGGGCCGGGCTGATCAGAGCCTGCTAGCCAGGGGGAGGGGCAGCGGGACATAGGGGAGGGACTGGCTGGCTTGGGGGAGGGACTGCGGAAGGTTGGCCGACCGAGGGAGGGACCGCGGGAGATTGGCCAGCCAGCTATGGGGAGGGACTGGCCAGGGGGAAGGACCATGGGAGGTTGGCTAGCCGGCCATGGGGAGGGAAGGCCGGGGGGAGGGACTGCGGGAGGTTTGCTGGCCAGACCCGATCAGGGAAGAGCAGGACTGGCCAGCTGGGAGGAGGGGCTAACTG